CTGATAGAGGGGTTGGTACATGTTCAAAATTGTAGCCAGGTAAATTTGGATTGAAAAGTAATGGTTTATCCTTAACTATCCTAGTTTCAGATACTCCAATTATACTGAAATGAGTATCAAGCTCATTAAGTAGATGATTCTGGAGGTTTTCAAGATTTTTGCTAAGACTTCTAATATTATTATGGAAGAAATGGAAGATAGAGAAACGGTTGTCAGGCTGAGCTAGCCTATGTTTTTATGAGGAGAAAAGTAGTTACATCTAAGTTGGCTATGAGCACTGCTGCTGACTTTGACGTGTTGATCTGTAGGTACATTCAAATTAAAGAGGTCAAGGTCAAATAAGCTCTTAAATTTGTCAAGTTGATTTCTGGACAGAGCGGATGTGAGCAAATTATTAAATTGCTGATGTGCAGAAGCAAGATCTTTCCACCCATAGTGAGGTAGTTCCTTAAGTAGTAGCTTGTTTTCTCTCTCTACTCTTTTGTCACGTAAGGGCATGAAAAGAAGAATAATTGATAATACATTTACCGTACCTGAGATTGTTTGTCCGTGCGACGCAGATATTAACATGTCCGTACGATGCAAATATTAGTCCATAAAACATCACTAAATATACATTTCCTTAGCGCAGTTTAAGGCGCTAAGCCAGAGCTCAACTTCGCTAAATCATCCATAGAATAGAGCTTGAAGATCCGAGACGTATCGGTTTCTCTCATGAGGACAGCTCCATTTTTGGCCCAGCAAAATTTAAATTTTAATTGTTGTTGACACTTTTTTGATTCGTAGAGTAGCTGTTGCAGCTTTGGCGTTATATGTTCGAAAATTCTTGCTGAGGTTACAAGCACATCATCTGGCAAACCAATTTCAGAAGGATTTATCGTGGAGATTCGAACTCTTTGCTGCATTATCTCTTGAATGGGTAACCGACGGGTAAATTTGCATATGATGGCGTTGTGCGAAGACCTCTCGTCTTCACTCCTCGTAGATGTGTAACTAGGAAGTTTGACTTCCGTGTAACTAGGAAGTTTGACGGTTTAGCCGTACAAAACAGCGTTGTGGTCGTGCAAAACAACAACAAGGGAAAGACAACAAAGCGTGCTAATTAGAAGAAAAAGTGTGCTGCACGTGCAATTTGTTTTTTTGCCAATTAGGGAAAGTTCATTTAATATGACAAGGGGGGGCGGGGGGAATGAAGATATTCCAACTCGAAGCTTGAAATTTTAGCAGCCCCCCTCGCTAGCGGTTCAATTTTTTAGGAGCCCCCTCCTTGGTAGTGGAAAAAATTTCAGAGCCCCCTGCCTCCTCCTTCAATTCCTTTGCTCCCCTGAAAAAAGATCGCTAGACTGTATTAAATATATTTACCGTTATTGTCTTCAGTGGTTTATACTATGACAAACTTGAGATACAGTTGTGATACAATTTTCTAAAGCATTTTTGGGATGAACAAGAATGTAATAATTACTGAGACTACATTTGTTATATCTGTAAACCACGTGATATAGCTGAGTTGCACAGGTCATTAAATTGTTGAGTTGAAAACCATCCGATCTGTATGATGATGTCATGTGTTGGTTTTGAAGTATACAAATTTTCGAGCCCCCCCCTCCTAGCGCAACAATTTTTTCAGAGCCCCCTCTTCGGGTGTCTAAGAATTTTCGGAGCCCCCCCTCAATATCTTCATCCCCCTTGTCATATTAAATGAACTTTCCCTTACATCTATTAATCTTGAAGCCATATTCATTGTCGTCCGCGTTTAGCATTACACGATTTAATTTTTTTTACACGTATTATTAACCAGAGCTTCGCTTTTAGCCCTGGCTAAATCTATATATTAGATTTATCGCCACAGCAGCAAACAAATAACAACTGGTTATGAAACGTTTAAACACCATCATGACCCAAAGAAAAGAAAACGAGACTACGCAAGGTTTTATGACCAGAAGAAGGTGGGTTGGTACATTTACATGTAGGCAACTGATACTTGTTTATACCATGGTTAAGTCATCTCTCGATCTGTGATTGGTAAATTTTCGCTTTTTAACTTGTGTACGGACCAAGAGATCTTTCTTTCTCCTTCAATCATGAAGCTACAAGTGCGCCTATCTCCGAAAAGCCATCAAAACGTTAACATAGGTTTTGTTTTTCAACTTAGAGAATCATGTAGTGGGCTTTTATTTGCTTGTTCTGTAACATCGTTTGTTAGGCACCACGTTCTTGTTCCACAAAAAAAAAAGTCATATGATATATATCTTACTATACCCACGAAGTAACTTCCAATCCTATAAAATACGGATCACATGTTTTTTGTTGTTGTTGTTTTTGTTTTAGTTTCTTTGTTGGCTAATAAGAGGAACACAGCTTGAGCTCCTTCCTTGAGTATTGCCGTAAAAAAAAAAAAGATTTTCTGTAAAACCTAAAATATTGTTTCTGCTCTTCACATCACCCTTCACCAATGCAGTCAAAACTGTCAAGACAGTTTTTTTCACCTTTTCTTCTCGTAGGCGGAAATTTCATTTACATTGAGGAGGAAATATATAATAACCGCGTTTTTATGCCGTTGAAGTTAAGTCTTCAGTTGTTATTGGATACCCTCCTGACCGGAATTTTCATTCGTTAGACTTGAAATCGTGAAATGCCGTAATTGTGTTCGTGTTGTCTTTTCAGGTGTCGCGTTTCAGAGAGACAGGGAAACAGGAGTTACAACAGTCAAGTACAACATTGCTAATAAGACTGATCTTGTTATTAATGGGGCACCGTGCGTGATTCTCAACGTGAACTTGCACTGCAATGTACAAGAAACACCGTGGTGTAACAATCCTGACTTGTGAGGCATGAAACTTTTTATTGCTTTCATAAAAGCGTCATATAGATGCAATTTATAAAATAAACTGTGTGAACCAGCATTAATTGGAATCACTTATACAATGTACATCCACGTTCGCGCGTTCCATCAATTAACTGCCAACTAGTTGTCACTGAAGATATTAGAGAAAAGAAAATCGAAACTGCCAGTATTTTTTTGTGTATCGCTCTTCTTTTGACATCGTAAGATGAGAATCACGAGATATGAGTTTCTACACCTCTATAGCATATTAGAGTGCAAGTTAATCAAAAGAACTCTGGGCTGTAATTAACTCGTGAAACTAGTCTTCAATTATTATATGGCTGAATCCGTAAGCGGGCAAGATTAAACGAATCCTGCGTTCTGATTGGCTAGCCAAGCGGGCGGAGGATTTCTCTCGTTCTTTCCCGAGAAAATGTTGTCTTTTGGGCCATAAATTATAATAGATCCTTTATTGACCAGGCTTGTTCGATCAAGGTGGCTGTCTATTGGCCTCGACTCGGTCAATAAAAACAGAAAGAGGAACTTGGCCAATATACAGCCATCTTGACCTTCTGCTTGGTCAATAATGGTTCATTCAATTCCAAGCGTGCCCATCCCGCCCTTCCCACAGGCATTTGTCATTTTTTGGAAAAGCTGTAAAAGCCCCAAGGTGGAGCAAAAAAAAGTGGGCAAATGCCCTACCCCGGGCCAGCAGTGATATTTTCTTAAATGTATAGAGTGATTTTACTTCGACCATGAAACGGATTCAATGTTTCCCGCTGTAACAGTTTCTAGATCGTAAAATCACAGTTATTGGATTAATTTGCTTTACTCTATAAATTTTATGATAGTTGTGTGATTATTACACACTTCAATGTATGTGGGACTAGTTGATGTATCTATTTGTTGAGTCTTTATTTCTTTCACGTCAAAATCATTTTGCCTAGTCCCTGTACGGCGTCTTTCCAGGCCCTCTCGGTCAATGCATTTCGCTGACGTATCCGAGACGAAAGGCCGGTAGACGCCTAGACAATCTCGGAGTGTGCATGCGTGAGCATTTTTGCATTTTTAAAAAGTTCCCACGTTCAACTGAAATAATCTATAAATAACTTTGCGCGTGAATATCCTTCGCTTGAAGCTCGGCACTAACCTGGTTTCTGTTATCAAAGAACAAAAATATAGCTTTGAATCGGAAAGAATACTACTGTATAACGTGCAAGTTATTTCTCTTTGAGTTCATTTTCAAATGAACCATTAAAATGATATTTCTTTATTGATAAAAAGATTTGAAACAGTAGTTTGTTGACATTCTACCAAATTTAGATCAACAGCCTGTCCGATTAGTTTGATAACCTTCCAAATCTAAAACTTAAATTACATAAAATATTTCGAAGTGAAATGATAACGAGAAATTTATAATAGCAAGCGAAAATAGAGAAACGAAAGACAGCTTTTTATATCCAGGAATAAATACAAACTTATTTCTTTAGCTTACCTTCCGATTCTTGATCAAAAAATTTTTTTGCGACGCTGTTTTGCTTAGCCTACAAATAGTTTTTGAGATAAAAGTTCAAATTAGTTTAATGAGATAAATGAAAAAGAAAGGCCAAAGGACTTTCAACAATGAAAACGTGCATAGAATAAAAATGCTCGGTTTAACTCTTTATCCTCTGTATTCTCCATGGCTGCTGGACATCTTTCATCAGCGCAGAAAAGTTATTGACAGCTCGCCCGCTTCCAAAAGCTCCGCCTCAAGTGAGACAACATATCTCACTTCTCCGAGTTTGTCTAGGCCTCAAAAACTTTCTCGGACCACGTGACCCGAAATGCATCGGCCGCCCATAATAATGAGGCCTAGGGACTAGGTAACTTGGGCCTTTATAAGACGTTTCCAAGAATTCGAGCCATTTTTAATCCAGTAAGTAATATAATTACCGGAGTAAGTTCCAAGACTCAGCTTGTATTTGCTTCTCTCGCCTGTTATCGCAAAGTAGCTGTACTTAGCATAAACTGTGTTTCTGTTGAAGTCCTCGAGATCCACTCGAAGTTTGCTTTTAGTTTTTGTCAGGCGGTGAATTTTGTCCAGTCCGAGCCAAAACTCGCCATTCAGATTTCCGAACCCTTTTTTGTAGTCGTTCCAGCCGCGGTAGAAATTAACCGAGCCATCCAGTCTCTTCTAGAACACTGTCCACCCCCGACCGGCCGTTGTTTGGTCAGAGTACACGTCAAAGGCACCAGCACCGTCTGAGTCCATCTTGTAAACTCCACTTGTTCGTTTTCCAGCTTTGTACAGTTCATTAATTGCAGTTCTTATAAACTGGAAGACATGACATTAGTACTGCATGTTAATTGTACATTTGGCAGGATATGGCTACTTTACAACTTATAAAGTCAACAATAATATCTGCGTTTTATATACTGCATTGCAAGCATGACACTGTATAAGAACCTGTGTAAGAAATTCAGGCCCGGAATAATGGCGCTAAACACCTACCAAATTTGGCCCAACTGTCTATTGGGCAAAATATTCGTAAGTTAGACCAGTTTTCCGTACTAAGCAGCGTATAAAATATAGACAATATCAATTAATTTTGCAATATTTATTGTTAGTATTCAATTGCATGATTTTACTCTTGTACTTTATTAATGAAGAATTTCCTAAATGGCGCAGAGATCCCTCTTAAATACTTATTAAATGAATAGTCTGCAAGTTGGAAACAATTCATTCCTTATGTGATACCCGAAAACAACAGAAAAAGGTAATGATTTGAAAACATGCCCAACAATATCTTGGTCCCGCAGAGTGTTGTCGACACTCCCTTTTGACTCTTTTCTTGCGCGTAAAACCGGAAAGTTGATATGGTACTTATGGGTCGTGATAATTAATTATTTTCGTTTTGTCTTTTCTTAATTACGAGTACACTTAGAAAAAGTGCCGACGGAAAGCCTCGTGAACAAGGTTTTCAGAGGGTAGCATGACGTTTATCATAGTCAAAAATTTCATTCACATCGAGGGGAAAATATATAATCGCGTCGTCTTCAGTTGTTATTGCATATCCTTCTGATCTGAATTTTCATTCTTTGCACAAACTTGCAAGTTCATTTAATCTTGAAATTCCTTATTTGTGTTCTTGTTGTCTTTTCAGGTATCGTTTCAGAGAGACAGGGAAACAGGAGTTACAACAGTCAAGTACAACGTTGCTAAAAAGACTGATCTTGTTATTAATGGGGCACCGTGTGTGATTCCTAACTTGAACTTGCACTGCAATGTACATACCCCGGTGTGACAATCCTGAATCGTGACACATGAGACTTTTTTTGAATTTTATAAAAGCATCATATAAATCTGTGAACTGTGTGAACCAGAATTAATTGAAATCAGTTATCCTTATACAATGTGCATCTACGTTCGCGCGTAAAACTGCCAGTATTTTTTTCTGTACGGCTCTTCATTCGACATTGTTGGATGAGATATGACTTTGAAAAAAAAAAGCTCTCTTATCACAAAATCTTTCATGTATTATCATGATTCAATTCAATTCGACCTCATCATGTTTTGTACCTAATTTCCTTGCCTACCCCAAACCCGGAAAAGTCTTGGGGCACAACTCTACATAAATGAATTTTGCTTGTTTGTTTTTCTTATTTCTTAAGATAGTTCACGTGACATGTCGAAAAAGCTGAAAACGTAGCTTCAATGAGTGAAATGTTAAAGAAATGTCGATACAATAAATATGATAAACCTTCTATTTATAGACAGCAGCTTACTGTACGATACAACAGCCTGAAATGACCTGAAATGCTATTGGGTGAACTGAAATGTTCCTTGTTCGTTCTACAGGTCTTATTTCAGTGCTCAATAAGTAGTTGATATGCAATGCGCGTGCTTCTATCACTTGCCTTTTTGGTAAGGTGAAAAATCTCTTGAAAGTTAGTTTATTTTTGTTCGGAATGCACTTGCTAAAAGTTTCTACACCTCTATCGCATATGAGAGCGCAAGTTAATCAAAAGAACTCTGGGCTGTAATTAACTCTTGAATTTAGTGTTCAATTATTATATGGCTGAATCCGTAAGCGGGCAAGATGAAACAAATCCTGAGTTCTGATTGGCTAACCAAGCGGGCTAAGGATTGCTCGCGTTGTTCCTCAAGGAATTGTTGTCTTTTTGGCCATATAGTAAATCCTTTATTTACCACGCCTGTTCGATCAAGATGGTTGTATATTGGCCTCGTCTCGGTCAATAAAACCGGAAAGAGGGACTTGGCCAATATCCAGCCATCGAACAATAATGGCTCAGCCAATTGACCATTCCAGAAAATACCATAACAAACCATAATGCTCTTTGTTTGTCACCCCAAAATTTTGCATAAGCATTGTCTTCAGCTTCTCTTGGGGCCATTTTAACACCCAACAGAAACTGAAGACAATGCTTACGCAACATTTTAGGGTGAGAAACAAACAGCATTATGGTATGTTATGGTATTTTCTGGAGTGGCCAATCCCAAGCATGCCGCGTGCTGCGTGCCGCGTACTGCGTGCCGCGTGCCGCGTGCCGCGTGCCACTTTTCCTCCCGTAAGAATCAGTTTACTGTTTTAAGTTTAAAATTTGGTACTCAAGATTTTACTGATCCAGGTCTACTAAAGATCCGGCGAACCCTCACTGGTTTGTCGTTGTGGTTTTGCCTTCACAAGTGTTTCTGATATGCTTGGAATTGACTGAGCCATAACGCATATATAAAGCAAGCATTGGAGAAGTATTAAAAAAAACCATTAAGTTCAGTGAATCGGAGGAAGAAAGACTACGGCCCGGTTCAAACGTCGAACTTTACATGTGCCGAACCTAATTATTAGGTTCGGCCATCTAAAGTTCTACGTATAAACCAACTGGGAACGACACTTTTGTATTTGGGTCAACTCGGCCGTTCTATTCGACTGAGCTTGTCGAATAGAACGGCAAAAGATCGACTTCGATTCACACGTCGAACTTCACATGTGCCAAACCTAATAAATAAATTATGTTAACGAATTTTTCAATACAACCGCGCCTCTGATTGGCTATTATTGGATTTTCGCGCCTGTGCGGGCAGAACTCACAGACGCGTAACGACGATTACCAGCATTCACGTTGTAGAGTTTTAGACCGAAACCGAACATTCTAAAACGGTCCTCTAAAAAGTTGCTTTTCTTTATATCCATAAAGAAATCGTACTGTATTTTAAAATTTGTGGCGTTACTTTATTTTGTCCAAATATCACGATCACGATCACCAGTTCGGGAGTATGCCAGTTTTGGAAGAAGCGATGACGTCATGATTCCATTGTTCTGCTAAAAACACGCAAAAAATAGGAAAAAATAATCGCAAGAAACAAGGGAGCTTTTTTCAAAACCCGTTCCAGGTCTCCTCGTTCAATATCCGGGACTTCCGAGCTAGCAGTACCGATAAAGAAGCCTTCTCCTTGCTTTTTGAATGTCAAGGGAAGTTTCCTGCCACATTTCGGTAGTTAAAAGAGACAGTTTTCAAATGGCCTTCGACGCCGCCGCCGCCATCTTGACGGGTATCGAATGTAAGTACATGACTTTATGTTTAGTTTTCAGTATCTTGCCGAATTTTTACGAAATCAAGACTAATTTTCCTCAAAACTACTACGTGTAAAGTGTGTTCAGGCAAAGTTTCATCGATGGCAACAACCTAGTAAAAATGGCAACCACACATTGAAAATTGCCAACGGACAGGAAGGGTTACTGATATTGATGGTTATGCCTTAGTCTGTCTATGTAGTTTTAGTTATAATCGATCAGGTCTGTTTTTGGTCGTGTTCACCGGCAATGTATGCGACTCTCATCTAGAAATCACTTTATTGATCCAGATCATGTGTGTGGAATGAGTTTTAAATCAGTGTGAGTAGGTTCTTATATTGATTTCTTTTATTTTGATCAGGATTTCCGTAAAAAATGTAGACAAACATCTGGAAATATTACAAACATGTTGTCGCGTTTGTGCCAAAAAGCTGGGAAAAGGAACCAAGAAGACAAAATGCAAAATATCTTCAGAACGACACATTTGTGCTCTGAGGGAAAAATATTGCTTTAGGTTCGCCTTATGTTCCACTGTAATGAAAAATTTAATGTCCAAATTCAACCCTACCTCAATAAAATGAAACATGTTTTTTTTTTGTTTCTTTGTAGTGTGGTCACAGGCTTACCCACCACAAAAGCCCCTCCTTTGACCCTTTCAAAAACGGGTAAGAGGGAAACAGGTTGGAGGGGGTGGGGGGCTTATATACCTTGTGAGTGGAAGCTCACACTCAATGACCATTCAACCATAGAAGAGACTGTGGCCCTTATTCAAGGGGCTTTAAAGGAGATAGATGAGGAAGGAGTCATGGAAGTGGAGGCTTGTGAAGATTTTCTCTACATAATGTTCAATCCCTTGCGTCAAATATTGTTTATACTTTATACATGCCAAACACATAATATGTTCAGTCCCTGTGCTGTGCAAAAGGTCAATCTGAAACATGAAAGATGCCACACTCTCCACCATCAATCCCTGTGCATGAGCAATAAGCCCATATTTTATGTCATAATATCGAATATGTGTGTATTTGAATAAATCCTAAATTATTGAGATTCTCTTGATGACAAAGCATCTATGTTAATGCATCGTCTTCAACAAAATAATCCTCCCTAATAAATAATACATGAAAGACATCTCACAAGATAACTATTGAAAATCGATGTCAGCTGCTACTGTCTTCATTATATCAATTAAGTTTTGGTTTGGTTTTCATGTCCAAGAAGGTGTTAAAAAAAACAAGATTTTGAGATAAAAGAGTGTGTATAATATGCGAGCCAGCGAGCCATGGAAGCGAGTCATGCAGGTCAGAATCAAAAACAGTAATACGGAAAGAATTAACTGTCAGGACCTAAAATAAAATGTTTATTTACAAAAAACAAAATGTAACAATAAATAACTTTTATTGTATCTTTACTCTGATGTGTGAGCTTGTTTTCTTGAAAGTGCTGTTCAATAGAAACATGAAGAACCGGCTATGAAAAGGAACTTTGGAAAACTTATGTTGTGTCCATGCCAAGTGCAGTAATCATTATTATTTTGGGCCAAACCTTGTCTAATAGAATTGTTTGAGGGTCCCCACAGAGAAGACTTGAAGAAAAGTGCTCCTCAAAGTTACAATGCCTTTAAGGCAGCCCCAGAGTTAAAAACAATAATTTAGTGTTATTCGGATGTAACATCAAATCCCATACAAGAGGATATTTTATATTATAAAATAACTGAGATAGTACGCGTGATCTGATTGGTCAAAAACCTATGGTTTATTATACCGGTAAACCCATAGAAAAAGGCATCCGGACCACGAGCCATAAACAAAACCGGATTGATCTGCAAACAACGATTTTAGAACGGCTAAAAAACAGAACAAGTTACTTACCCAGCCCTTCTTAATATTAAAAGCGTTGGTTTCCACATTTTATTACTGAGCCTCACAATTCGCTACTGCCATAGCTTTAGAAGTTATAAAGTACAAAGCTGGAAAACAGTTTACATTTCACGACGATGCCAATCGCAGAGAAAGCCAACAACTGTGTGAATTTCTGGTGTAGAGAGTCTCTAGGAAAACTTAACCATGTGCCAACCAGCAACAAAACGGATAGTTTTAGCATTCTTGATTTATTTTATGTCAAAATTAAATTCCTTAATGAAAGAAATTGTTCCAAAAAGAGATCTCTGATCAAGATATGGTACAAAATCGCCCGCTGTAGGTTCAGTAAACAAGCTGCCAACGATGATGAAAGATGTCAGAGTTTCGGGCTGGTTTTTTCCAACATTTGCACAAATTATTCGGTGATATCGATGCCATAACCTACCTCAAACCACCTGCCTTCACGAATCGACAAATATTAACGCCAATATGTGGCTACGGCAAAGAAACCTTTGACCACTGACATATTTCCATCGGTCGCTGTACGTGCATATAAAGTTACATGCGACCGACTTCGCAAACGCAGCCACGTCGTTACCGCAGCATTTCTTGATCATTATAAAGTCCAGAAAACAGATCTTAAACCACTGCGGCTTGTAAAAAGTGAATGAAGTCCTCCATTACAATAGCTGTCAGTTCCGTCTGTAACAATGAAATTCTTACGGATCGACTCAACAAAATACAGCTGACAGTCTGATGTCCAATTAATTTCTACTTCTGTAGTAAACAAACCATGAACTTATTCTTTCATTCCACGTTCGCATGAATTTGTGTTGACTTTTCCTGTCAAACAGCTTTCATAAGTTATCATGTAATGAGTGCAAAAACTCGTGTTTTTAAGTGCTGCTGTTTGTTGTTTGACTGAACTGAGTTTTCTGAGTTTTGAGAAAGTTCAACGCTATTAAATCGAGAGTTATGATTGGCTTATGATGACTTTAGAGAGAAGACGTGACTTGATCACGGTACTAAAACCATATTTTTTACCTAAAAGACTCCATTCTACTAGAAGTTATTTTATGGGTGTATGTAAAGGGCGGAACCTGCCCGGAACCGCCCGGAACCCCCGGAACCGCCCGGAACCAACCGGAACCCCCCGGAATCCCCCGGAACCTACCCGGAACCTTGAAAAAAGCGCAAATGATAAAATTTAAAAAAAAACAAAAAACAAAAAATAATACAAATCAAATAAAAATAATGAAAATGAAATAAATATACTAAATATAGGTAGCTTCCACCTTAAAAATAGTCTGAAAGCTACAACTTTTATTATTTTATTTCGTTTTAATTATTTTAATTTGATTTGTATTATTTTTATTGTTTATTTGGTCCCCGTCCTCTTGTTAAATCAGCCTAATACTTGAACAGGTCGGCACGTGACTAACGGAATGTCAAAGACCAAAGTACAAAGTATTGTTTTACGACTCGAAACCACGTGCGCTGTGGAAGTCAGCGAGAGAGCGTGGACAGTTTTTTCAAGTACGACCATGAATGAAGGGAAAGCCGAGACGATCACCATAGAAGATGAATCACAGTCTGAAGATGACAATAGTGAAGAGCTATATCAGCCGGTTTTTATGAGAACCGAGGAAACGTGTCCTTTTGCCAGGTAACATTTCCTTCGTACAAACAGAAATTTGACTGTTTACTGAGTTGCGTAAGCAAAAAGCTGATATCTGCCCACAAATTTACGCGGTTTTGTTTTATTTCAACAGTGCTGTAAAAACTGGGAACGGTCATAACGAAGTAATCGAAATCCTTTCCTCGCCGGAAGAAGTCCGGAAAAGAAAAGGTAAGCGCAGGTTCACTTTTCGTGGAGGCATAGCGGGCTCCATTAAAGAAACAACCCGTGCTAAACGAAGTCATTATGAATTGTTTAACCGGCCAAGGTAGTTCCCAACTACCTTGGCCGGTTAAAACAATTCCTTAGTTATGCCTCCACGAAAAGTGAACCTGCGCTTACCTTTTCTTTTTCCGGACTTCTTTCCGGCGAGGAAAGGATTTCGATTACTTCGTTATGACCGTTCCCCTCAGTTTTTACAGCACTGTTGAAATAAAACAAAACCGCGTAAATTTGTGGGCAGATATCAGCTTTTGCTTACGCAACTCAGTAAACAGTCAAATTTCTGTTTGTACGAAGGAAATGTTACCTGGCAAAAGGACACGTTTCCTCGGTTCTCATAAAAACCGGCTGATATAGCTCTTCACTATTGTCATCTTCAGACTGTGATTCATCTTCTATGGTGATCGTCTCGGCTTTCCCTTCATTCATGGTCGTACTTGAAAAAACTGTCCACGCTCTCTCGCTGACTTCCACAGCGCACGTGGAATTCGAGTCGTAAAACAAAACTTTGTACTTTGGTCTTTGGCATTCCGTTAGTCACGTGCCGACCTGTTCAAGTATTAGGCTGATTTAACAAGAGGACGGGAACCAAATAAACAATAAAAATAATACAAATCAAATTAAAATAATTAAAACGAAATAAAATAATAAAAATTGTAGCTTTCAGACTATTTTTAAGGTGGAAGCTACCTATATTTAGTATATTTATTTCATTTTCATTATTTTTATTTGATTTGTATTATTTTTTGTTATTTGTTTTTTTTTAAAATTTTATCATTTGCGCTTTTTTCAAGGTTCCGGGTAGGTTCCGGGGGGTTCCGGTTGGTTCCGGGCGGTTCCGGGCAGGTTCCGCCATTTACATACACCCTTATTTTTTATAGAATAGATCATTTTTTTGGAGCGAGCTGAGGATAATCATTTGATGTTAGAGAACACTCGAAAAGCTTGTAAATCACTCGCCTTCGGCTCGTGATTTACAAGCTTTTCTCGTGTTCTCCCAACATCCCGCGTGGGTTATCACGCCGGTAAACCCATAGAAAGTGTGGTCTATTGCTTAAACAAACCATAACCTTGTTGATCTCTGACCTCTGGTCAAATCCGGTGGACTACAAGACTATAGTATCCCATTTTAATTAATAGATCCGAAAGCATGTGACAAGCATAATTCTTAGTTTTCCAATATGTATATTAAATTCTAAAGAGCCTCTTGCATTTGTTAAGCTTGACCAAATAATCAGTGAACTTCAGAAAGTGGAATAATTGAAAGCAATAGGTTTTTTTGAAGCGGGACAAAAAAAAAATGATCAGAGATGATAAGTAAGATTTTCAAATTGTGGGTTTTTAGGAAGAAAACGCTGGCACAATATCCTCAGAAATCTCTTGTAAACCTGTTGTATACCTGGACGGAACCGCTTCAAGACATAAACCAACAGAACACCATATTCGAAAAAAACAGATATTTTACTCACAAATGACTCCCTTGCACCAAAACAATAACCTGAATTACAGCCGTCTTCTCCGGCCAGTCGCTCACTCGCGGGGAAGATACAGAAGCAACGGGAAAAATTACATTAACACTTAACTGTGAAAGCAAACATAAGGAATTGAATTATAGAGCAACTCACTTTTTAGTTGTTTCCAAAGCATTTTTTTTCTCCTTATGATATAAAAAATAATGAAATAAATAGGCACAAACTTGTTAGCGTGCTTACCTATTTTCGATGTACTGATTATGTATCCGTCAAATCGAAGCTTCAACATGCCCCCCCCCCCCCGGGCATACCCCGGGCATTTGACACCTTTGCCGTCCCGGGGAGGAGGGAATTTGATTATCAGAGTCTTCCAGGGGGTGGGGAATTTGATCCCCATGCTTTAGGGGTGGGGAATTTGAATTGCATCCTCGATTTCATGTAAAATCTTTGGCGTGGCGAGCTATCATGGGGGACGCGGTGTTAGAGGATTTTCGTGGAAAAGATTGTGCCTTTGTGGCCAATTGATTGCGAGGAAAGGGCTTAAACAAGCTTTGTGCCGTATTTGAAGTATTTAAATTTTAAAATGTTTAATATGGATTCAGGCTTTGAATGTATGAATGTATTTTATTGTTGTGTTTACAATGAAATACAATACCTATATCAGCGATTCAATACAACAACATAAAAAAATAAAATAAAAAGCTCAGATCAACTACTTTGACCTACTGCAAGTATGTTAATTAATAAGGTGAGCGATGATGCATGTCAGTGAAATGATCATGATGTCGTAATCTCAATAGGTGGCATCTTTTTTTATACAACACTTTGTATGTTGGATGACGAAGAAAAGCTGAGCATTCAGTGACCTTGTAGCAGCGATTTCCGCCGCTTTGCACGAGACTTTTGTTCGTAGTAAATACGCTAACAGTGCTTCTCAGTTTTTGTTATATTTATAAATATTTTGCTCCACAACTGAAGGTGTTTCCGCCGTCCTTCTGTCATTATGTGCCTGTGAAATGTCCCCGGGGTCGGGGCATTTGATCACCTGAATGGACCCTAGTGTGGGGCATTTGAACGGCATTTTGGCCCGGGTAGGGGGGAATTTGAACAATAATTTTCAGAAAAGTCAAATGCCCGGGGGTTTGCCCGGGGGGGGGGGGGCATGTTGAAGCTTTGATTTGACCGATACATTACATACGCAGTGAGTACGCAGTGCCTACTAAGCGCGCGATAAGCGAAGAACTATAGCGCAAGAATGGTCCTATTTTAAGCAGTAAGGATGATGTTTCTTTTCGCCACGAATTAGGTTCGGCACATGTAAAGTTCGACCGTCTGAATCAACAGTCGAACTTGATAGTTTGGGTCGACCTAAATAGGTATTAGGTTCGGCACATGTAAAGTTCGACGTTTAAACCGGGCCTAATAGGACAGAAGGCAGTTAGTATAAATGAAAAACAATATGGTAAATTGCGAAAGCCAATTGTAACATCTTTTATTTTATAGTTTTTTCCATCAAATCTGTGACAATTTAAGAAATGGTAAACGTGCAGCGTGCAACCATGGAGTTATGGATGGACGCGGGAGGTTGCTAAGCACGAAAGAAGCGTAAGAGTTGCACGAGGCAATAGCCGAGTGCGACTCTAGCTTCTTGAGTACTTAGCAAACCTCCCAAGTGCATCCATAACTCCATGGTTGCACAGCTGCAACGTTTACCATTTCTTTTATAACATAATCAAAAGAGAAAAACATTATTTTCTATTTGCCTTCGGTTGAGTCATTGGTCCGAGTTCATGTATGCTGCCGTCTGCCCGCCCCTTTGAGTTGTTCTTTCTCTGAATCAACCGTTCTCCGTCTTCAGGTAAGTTGCAAAACCTTTTCCGTTGTTATTCTGAATGGCATCTGTCTACTTGCTCTTAATATTAGGGTAAAAACTTTGAGGGAAAACTATAACTGCAACTATAAACACCAACTAAAAAGACTTTAAAAAATAAGCTAAAACTAAATAAATGATCATAAAATAATTGTCAAGCTTATTTATGTGTCAATTTTTGAAATAAACGTAAAGTAGAAATGAGAAAATCTGACTGTAATTCCTTTAGAATAACGGCTAGCACTAATTTTAAAAAGAAATTAACTAGCTTTGTATCGAAATCTGTCTGGGGAAATCCAGCTATGAAAGTCAAAGTTGCAACTGAAATTCGCCGACACACAGCCGGCGCTGAAGCTATTGTTTTTCGACCGTTCTCTGAACGACTGTTATGAATGAACACTGAAGAACAAATTAAACACAGTAAAGTTATTTTTTGAAAACTTTATTTGAAAACTCAAATGTTTCTGTACTCAATGAAATTCGCTTATTCCAGAGTAATGTGAACGTTTAAGAGCGGATGTCAGTAAATATCGACCAGAGGTCTACAAAAGTGAAAAATCCAAAATTCTCAAAAAAATTCACAAAGTAGCACTAGGTAAGCTATTAACATAAATGTAATTTTTACTTCGATCCGATTATTATTTTCCACGTACGGGGGGGGGTTATTGGTTTCGCGGCTCTCGGACCGGGTTTTCCAGGCTCGAGACCATGTGTCACAAAAAAATCGTTTTAAAATTCAAATCCATTGTAATGCGGACAACAAATATCTTATTCAGAAGAGTACATAATTGCACACATTTTAAGTGGTGATTTACTCAGTTTGAACGAAAATGTAATATTTTGGAGATTTTTCATTATTTTCAATATTTTGAACGTTTTCGTTCAATGAAAAAATGGCAAATTTCAAAGCCCCAAATCATGGACTGGTACCTCGATTTCAGTGACGAGTCTTATACCACGTTAAAGAGCGTTATCTCTTCTTTCAAAATCTGTTTTCAAAACTACGGGCAACTGAAAAGAAAATTTTTGAGGTCAAAAAATACAAGTAGTACTTTTCTGAAATTTGAGCTTTCGAGACTCCCCTGAGACTCGGCGGGCCGATGCTAAAAACTCGGAAAAATACAATAAGAAATCAGTTTGAGAAACAGTGGTTTCAAGTTATCAGCTTTCAGAAACCAAGACGTGTTTATACAGCGATCTGATATAAATTAATGCCTTTTGCTATCAAGAAAGGCAGATTTAAGCTGTCAACTCCTGCCAAGTGCACCAGTCACGTGAAGTTGTCAAAGGGAGGGCAAAGCACTAATATCAAAACGTTTTGCGTCCATGAAAGCAGATTTTAGCGTACAAAACAATGTTGTGAATGTCTGTTGTTCGTACCTTAGCATGGTCTTTCCATATATTGGAAAGGCCAAGTATCCACACAGGAGAACATACCAAACAACAACGTTTTAAATCCAAGCGCCGAAAGATCGTAAACGGCAGAGATTACGTTACATTTCACAGAACGACCGCTTACCACTGTTGTCACTCCTTTTTTCGCTGGAAGCTACGAGGAGTTTTCATTCCGTCATGAGTGATTCTTGATCAGCGCTTCCTTGAAAGTACGACCCCGGACAGATGATAACTGAGGACGCCTGTTGTTCAGTTTCAGGATTTAGCAGGTGCGTAGTCAGGATTTTTCCGGAGGTACACCCAACTTTTTCTACATCGTCTCCCCCCCCTCCCCCCACCCCAAATCTCAACATTTTTTAAGGTGCCTATATTAAAGGTGGGGTTAACGGTTGTAAGCAAAAGCATTTTTGCTGTTTATGAAATGACACAACCTCTAAAATTCTTTAATTCTGTCGGCTTGTTATGTTCATTGACGTCAACCGTTTATCATTAATTCAGCTATTAAAAATCAAGCTTGTAGTACCTCCGACTTTAGTTTACAAATGGCTCTTTTTACCCTTTTTTGTCACATTATTTTTGACCGACAAAAGCACCACACATTGACGTAATTGTGCCCTACATCGTCTACTCCGAAGACAGGTCGTGGAGAAAACAACGCGTTCACGCTTTACATCATCAAGCTTGCTATATAAATAAAGCATCCAAGGTTCGGTTCTCCAATTAATGTCCTCGCTTCTCTGGAAACCGATTTTTTTAGTTGAGTTTATTTCATCCTATTTTTTCTCCTCAACGTTTTCGGGTACGCACGTGCGAACCGTGCATACAAGTAGCTACGCCCCTGTTTAGTCTCCTTAGCCCTGAGCGTTCCTCTCTTCCGGTTTTCGCAGGAGTTCAGGATGTGGTCTACCCAGTATTTCACGTCTCTATTAAATGACAGGCAGCACTTCTTGTTTACCGTTTCGTTATCAGACAGCGCTTAGACTCTTAGCCTTTCATTTAATTTTGATCAAATTGTTATCATTTATAGTTACTCAGTATACGTTCCATCCTGTCCTTGTAAACTTATACTTTTATACTTCAAGGGAGCTTAATACCTATATTAATTTTTTCTTCGTTTAGTGTTGTCCAACAGACCCAGTTTTTTGGCATTTTTTTAAAAAAGCAAGAAAAAGAAACGACAAGGTTTATTTTTTTGGACTTCAATTAATTCTTTTAATCTACGAAATGAGCATTATAACAGCATTTCCAGGCATAAAACGTTCGGTGGTGTATCCTTTTTGCTTTTTACCCTTTTTGGGCCTTTTTTTATGAAATTGACCATCACATTTTCCACAATATTGAGTTTGTGTCGATTTGGTGACCATGTCTTGTTGTTTTCAGGCTCCACGGCAATGATGCTGGTGTTTCAGGTCTCCTGTTCTCAGATTTCTTGTGATTTTTTTTCACCCTACCGACCGACCCACCCAAAGCCAGGAAACCTATTCAACGCTAAACGAACGAAAAGGGGATGACCTAAGCCTTATGGTTTCTTTTTGGGCTTCCCCACCACATTGCTTCTGCGTATTTCTGTATACTTGTCTTTTGCTTTGTTTGGTTCTTTTTTGTCGGTAAAATAAACTGAAACTAATATTCCCTTTGGAGGCTCTCGAACGCGCATAAAAAAAAAATGAAAAACGCGATGATTTATTGACCGCAAGGGCAATTGGGTGGGGTTAGGGCTCGTTACTGCGCTCCGGTTCCCTCGTGCGCTATCAAATGGTCCCGATATACAAAATGAAAAATTACTGCGGACAGACTATTCACGTCTAAACATCAAGCATCTTTTAAGATGGGACTTATCGCCTCTCCCTGTTCATGGAGTTGATTCAAGGTGTAGACGTCAATTTCGTGATGCCCTGCATGTTGCCGGCACATGTTTCAAAAGGGCCTTTCCACAGCTATGGAGTCCGCCGTCACCTTGTCAACCGTGCGAGAAATGATGTACTTCACAAAAACAAAGAGAACTTGTTTTCGATTTTCCCCGCCCACTACCCCCGAAACTCCCCGACAGGACCGCTTCAAAGTACTCCCCACCCCTGGGCCCAAATGGCTGGACTTGTTCCTGTGGTTGCGCGGGGGATAGTAACAGGTCTAACTAATTGCACCGTGCATCAATGACAGTTAAGCTCAATCAGAAGCCCCTTTTCCCTGGCTAGGTCAAGGTGTGTGCACCTCCTTTAAGCTGTTTTTTTTTTTTTTCGGTTCTTACTGAAATTTTTGATCTTGAGGAAATTTACAACGACAGGAGCAGGTTATGGGCTTTTTTCCTACCCCAAATCCTACATCACGGGAAATTGGGAAATCCCTCAGGTTAGGTAAGAATTCGATAATCCTTCCATAATCATCCATTTTTTCACCGCGTGAATTGGGTACTTTTTAGCTTATTTCGAGGAAATACTTTTTGCTTCAAATCCAGGGTGGGCTTTTAAACACATTTTTTAAGGCAAATGGTTTTTGCGTGAATCTGCTTACCCGAACTTTTCGTATAAAAAAACGACAAATACCCGAAAAAAGCTCGTGTTGTTGGTGGTGGTGGCATATTTCCGATAAATTCAGTTCAATGTCTCGTGAAGAAGAGTTCAGATCCGTCTAAATGCGAGCCCAAAAACAGGTGGTAAGCGGTCAATCTGTGAAAAGTAACGCAATCTCCGTCGTTTGAGAGCAGCTGAAGACGCTCTTGCCGATGCTGTGCTTGATGTTTTTTACTTCCAATATCTAGGAGACCCATGCTAAGGTATGAAACATACACTCGTAGGCATTGTTCTGTCCGCTAAAGTCTAATTCCTGGACGCAGAAACGTTGTGCTTTTTGAAGTTTATTACTGTGCTTTGCCTTTTGACAACCTTACGTGACTCGTGCGTTTGGTAGCAGAAGATGGCTAAACTCTGCTTTTCTTGTTGGAAAACGGCTTTAAATTTTATCAGATCGCTCGATAAACACGTGTTTGTTTCTGATAGCTGATAACGTTAAACCACTGTTGCTCAAACTGATTTCTTATTGCATTTTTCTGAGTTTTTAGCATCGGTCCGCTGAGTCTGGAAAGCTCAAATTTCAGAAAAGTACTACTTGTTTTTTTTTGGCCTCAAAAATTTTCTTTTCAGTTGCCCGTAGTTTTGAAAACAGATTTTGAAAGAAGAGATAACGCTCTTTAACGTGGTATAAGACTCGTTACTGAAATCGAGGTACCAGTCGACGATTTGGGGCTTTGAAATTTGCCATTTTTTCATTGAACGAAAACGTTCAAAATATTGAAAATAATGAAAAATCTCCAAAATATTACATTTTCGTTCAAACTGAGTAAATCACCACTTAAAATGTGTGCAATTATGTACTCTTCTGAATAATTTATTTGTTGTTCGCATTACAATGGATTTGAATTTTAAAACGATTTTTTTGTGACACATGGTCTCGGGCCTGGAAAACCCGGTCCGAGAGCCGCGAAACCAATAACCCCCCCGTACGTGGAAAATAATAATCGGATTGAAGTAAAAATTACATTTATGTCAATAGCTTACCTAGTGCTACTTTGTGAATGTTTTTGAGAATTTTCGATTTTTCAATTTTGTAGACGTCTGGTCGATATTTACTGACATCCGCTCTTAAACTCAACTAAAATTTTGAATCGATGCGATGAAAACTTCACAACAAATTAAAGCTGTGTCGAATTCGAGCGTGTTTCCTAAAATATTTGCTTGAATTTAGCATCAGCTTGAGCAAAAAGTCAATAACGCAATGCTAATTGATAAATTTAAATTTCTAACAGACTTTCTCTTTTATAAAAAACACACCAAAAGTACCTTAAATCTTTGCTCGCTCGATTTTACTTCAGCCGATTCTAGCCGCGAGGAAAACAGTGATTAATTCATCCAGAGCAAATTTGTCATTTGATCTCTTTTTTTTCCTTCAAAACGACAGCTTAGTATTTTCTTCAACTTCCACTTTTCATCTGTGCATTTCATCGGTGTATTTTACCGTCAGGAGAGGAGATTTGTTGAATTTGCCTAAATTTGACCGCGCTAGCTCAGTTTCTTGGCGTGCAACCAGGGGCAAATGGTAGTGGCTAACCGACCAATCAGAACGCGCGATTTACTTTTGTTATGTTATAAAGTTTGTTATGCTTAATTTATCATTTCAGCAGCAGTCTAACAAAATTTGTACAGTCAAGTTGTTTAAAAGATCATTACGAATCAAGCAGATATAAACACTGACAACCGCTCTTTGTTGGTTTAGAAGTTGACTGGTTTGAGTTTCATTTCAGCTCGTTTAGCGGAGTAGTAATGTCCCTTCCAGTTATACCAGTTCACACCATCAGCATGTGAAGAGTGACTACCGTGATGATAGAGCCCGTTCAGGTTGGAACGATGGCAGTCCCTGTACCACCAAGCTCCCTTGTAATCTGTAGCACAGTTACCAGAATGCTGGTCATTGTCTCGATCTTTAGTGGAGAAAGATAAGCTTTTGTGATAACTTAGCGAGTCACCAGCATTTCCTGGAAAATGAAATTGGAACAAAAGATGTTTCCTTAAATTTTTCTCCACATTACTGTGATTTTCAATACGATGGTTAAGATCTAAAGACAGTAGGAAACATTGAATCCGTTTCATGGTCGAAGTAAAATCACTCTAACGCTCCATATTATATTAATTTGAAGTACTCTTATTTCGTGATAGCTGTGTGATTATTACATACTTCATTGCATGTGGGACTAGCTGTATCTCTGAGGTGAGTATTTATTTCTTTAACTTCAAAATCATTAGCATTAACTTAGGCCTTAAAAGTTCTTTCCCCGAACTCCATTTTTAATTAAGTAAGTAATACAATTACCGGTGTAAGTTCCAAGACTCAACTTGTATTTGCTTCTCTCGTCTGTTATAGCAAAGTAGCTGTACTCGGCATAAGCCGTGTTTCTGTTGAAGTCCTCTAGATCCACTCGAAGTTTGCTTTTAGTTTTTGTCAGGCGGTGAATTTTGTCCAGTCCGAGCCAAAACTCGCCATTCAGATTTCCGAACCCTTTTTTGTAGTCGTTCCAGCCGCGGTAGAAATTAACCGAGCCATCCAGTCTCTTCTGGAACACTGTCCACCCCCCACCGGCTGTTGTTTGGTCACAGTACACGTCAAAGGCACCAGCACCGTCTGGGTCGATCTTGTAAACTCCACTTGATCGCTTTCCAGCTTTGTACAGTTCAGCGCAGTTCTTATAAGCTGGAAGACATGACATTAGCACTGCGTGTTAATTCTACATTTGGCAGGATATGGCTACTTTACAACTTATAAAGTCAACAATAATATCTGCTTTTTGTACACTGTACTGCAAGCTGTATGAGAAAAAGTGTAAGAAGTTCAGGCCCGGAATAATGGCGCTAAACACCTACCAAATTAAGCCTAGCTGTCTATATTTAGGCAAAATATTCGTAAACTGAACCAGCTTTCCGTACTAAACAGTATAAAATAATTATAGACAATATCATAGGAATTCTGTAGGGATGCTGCATACAAACTGCAATGCATTTCTTTCCATCTCCAGAGTGTCCAGGTTTAATTATAAGCTGGAAGACATGACATTAGCACTGCATGTTAATTGTACATTAGGATATGGCTACTTTACAACTTATAAAGTCAACAATAATATCTGCGTTTTATATACTGTATTGCAAGCATGATACTGTATAAGAACCTGTGTAAGAAATTCTGGCCCGGAATAATGGCACTAAACACCTACCAAATTTGGCCTAACTGTCTATTGGGCAAAATATTCGTAAATTGGACCAGTTTACCGTACTAAGCAGCGTACAACATATAGACAATATCAATTAATTTTCCAATTTTTTTTCTAAGTATTCAATTGCATAATTTTACTCTTGTACTTTATTAATAAAGAATTTTCTAAATGGCGTAGAATTCCCTCTTAAATACTTATTAAATGAATGGCCTGCAGCTTGGAAACAATTTTTACCTCATGTGATACCCGAAAGAACAGTTAGTACTAAGTAAACACTAATGATTTGAAAACATGCCCAACAATATCTTGGGCCTGCAGAATGTAGGCAGTTCTTTCTTTTGACTCTTTTCTTGTGCGTAAAAACCGGAACAATTGATATAGAACTAATATGAGTAATGATAATTAATTGTTTTCGTATTGTCGTTTCTTAATCATGAGTACACTTAGAAAAAGTGTCGACGGAAAGCCCCGTGAACAAGGTTATCTGGATATACGTATTGAGAACAGTTCTAACCTTTACACTGGGGGAGGGAGGAGAGGGGGGGGTCGACTCTTACTCCCTCCCTAATTCATCCTTTAAAGTTTCCTCTGTCCTAACCCCTAAGAAAGGCGCGATACTCAGGCCAAAAACGTTTGTACTGACTCAAGCTAAAATGAGGGCCTAATTCTTTATTTTAATTTTTTTTAAGAGAAGTAGAAAGAATTGGGTAGACTCAAGAAATAAAAAAGAGACTGGCTAAGCAACCGAGGATCAAGGGCTTCATAACACACGACCTCACCTAAAAATGCAAAAAATATATTGACAATCAAACGAAGAGAAAACAATCTTTTTATGAGATTCTACCGAGTCTACTCAGTCTCTGCTGGTCTATCGACAATACAGAACCATCAAAGAATATTATGCTATATATGTTGAATTGTTGGCGATATTTGACATAGCAAGCATTAGAATATAAAAACACTGATTCATATAATTATAATGACTTTATAAAAAGTTTGACTTGTTACTAGATATTAAATTATAATTATATAATTTTAAACTGTTACGCATAAATTTTACATATCCCTATCAGGGGATTTAGATCTAGTTTTATAAAATAACTAAGATAGTACGCGCGCTCTGATTGGCCGAGAGGAGTGTTTGCATGAGAGTATGTAAACATGGTTGTGGCGCCAAGATGTTTTGCTTTTCGCGCGCTAATCACGCAAGCACGAATTTGAAAACGTTTTCGAGTTAAAATCTTGACAAGTTTACTTTATTTACCCATTCCTCCGTCAGCTGAAACTTGGAAAATCGTTACAGAGGTGTGTGAATTTTTTTTCGCTTAAGCTGACATTTTCTGCGAGAAAAGTCCGTATTTTGGAAAGAATCTTTTTGCAAAACAAGAACTGATTACGCGTGCAAGACTTCGTGGACAAGGCTTTGCGACTGGTAAGAATTTCTCTTTTAGTCAGTGCCATACAAAGAGTTTTGCGTCTTTTCTCGGGAAAGTTATTTTATAAAAGCAATAGAAAACTTTTTCCCTGTGTTCGCATAGCCTGATATAAACACTCGAGGCGTTGGGAGAATTCTCGACAGTTATGCAAACCCGAGACGAAGTCGAGGGTTTCAATAACTGTCTCGAATTCTCCCAACCCCTCTCGTGTTTATATTAGGCTGTGCAAACACGGAAAACGTTTTCTATTGCTTAAATAACAAATACAGTTGGAATGTTTGCAATAGGCAACAAGAAAATTGTAATATATGAAAGTACAAAAACTAGAAAGGATAAAACTGGAAAACTAGAACGGATAAAATTTCCATGAAGACAGTACACGTCAAATTCAACAAAATTGCGCGAGATTTCAAAACCCTCGCAATAATAATAACAATAATAATAGTAATAACTTAATTAATCTCTTCAAAAAGGCTTTTCAGCATAATTTACAATGCCAAATATCTAAAACTTAGTTTTCCAAAAATACCCTTAGAAAATGCTGTTTTATTTAGTGATAGACTGAAACTCGTCTGGAATACTATTCCACAGCTTTTGGCCTCTGAAAGGTAAACGCGCGCTGACCAGCAGCCGTCCTACAGGGTGGTATATGTAGGCGGTCCCTATTCCTAGTGTTACAGTTGTGCACTTCCGATCTGGTTTTAAACTTCTGACAAAGATATGGAGGTGCAAGTCCATTTAAGCATCTACAATACTCCTTAATACGCATATAAAGGAACTGCAAAGATGAGACTGAAATCTACAACGGATTCATTTTCCTGTAAGGACTGTAATCAATTCATTATTGAATCTTGTGTGGCGAGCTTGACTTGGCTGGACTGTTATGTCTGTAATTCGGTTACATTATGGAACACCATCAATATAACAATCATTCCTCGAGCCCGAATGGGTTCTTTTATTTATTTATTACAGATTCACTCCACTACATTACAAGCAAATAATGAAAACATATAAGCTAACACTACTATAAGAAAAAGAAAAGCTGTGGAGAAGGAGACAACCAAAAGCGCCAATGCGGCATACTAGGGATGCCCCCCACTAATTAAAATGTAAGAAAAAGATATACAAATAGAAATAGAAATGTTCTAGTTATCCTTAATAAAGCTTTAAACATTTTTTTAAAAGTTGCAATACTGTTTGATTCTCTAATATGATTGGGTAAACCATTCAATTCATTTGTCCATGAGGTCAAAGGCCGAATGGGCTATTGACTCAGAGGACATTAGGGCGAGAGGAATTATTGTCCTAGTAAAATGTAACTAATAGGTCAAAAATATCAAGACAGAACAACTTTAGCTAGCAAAAACACGATTCAGCCGCCATTGTTTTGGTTTTCAAAGCCGGCGCTTTTCGCTACTAGTGGGCTATAACATAAAGCCTAGTAGTAGCTCGACCAATCAGAACGCAGCATTGATAATAAACCATTAGCTGGATTTTACTAATAAGGAATACTCTATACCAATGCATTTCTTTCCATCTCCTGAGTATCCGGCTTTGCAGGTGCAGTTGTACGACCCTTGAGTATTGGTACAAACTGCATTCACATCACAGGTATGGGATTTGTTTCTGCATTCATTTATATCTAATGGCGGAGGGAATAAGGACAACATATGTAGTCAGTGATGAATCCTAACTAAGACAACTAACTATATCTGTTGTGCCTTAATTTTAGCCATGGGTTTGTTTTAGGGTATAGCAAGGTATGAAAATGTGTATGAAACAAAAGAAAATAAAGTTTAAACAAAGGACAAGTTTTACAACAAAATATAGTACACTAAATGTATAACCAGTCCAGAAGGATGCTATGTCAGGAAAACATAATAAGGGCTGTAATAGTTACCAAAGCACTTTTTTCCGTTTCCATAGAATCCAGCTTTGCAAGTGCAAATGTATGAGCCCACGGTATTCTGACAAGCAGCGTTTGGATCACACCTATGATAATTGCTGATGCATTCGTCAATTTCTGCAGTAGACAACAAAATTCAATGAAGACCATTTTATCACCGTGATCTTACTTGGTAGCAGTAAAAGCATACACTGAGAGTGATAAGTACAGGGGTTACCTTTACCTAAATATTAAGACTACTGCCTGGGAGAGAGCTACAAAAAAATGCAGCCTTTATAAAACTCTGATCAACAACACGGCGACAAAATAATCATTAAAACTCACTACTGCAGAAGTGATCTTCAAACCACGTTATTGGTAACAAATTAAATGTTTCGATTTTTAGTATCTCTATGGCAACTCAAAACTTGCCTTTAACACAAGTATAGTTATGGCAGTTATCACATGACACGTCGTTCCAAGAGTAGCCATCTTTCGCACCAAGGGTGTGGACACAGTCTTCGTTTTTCAAGTTGTTTGGTTGTTGCGGAGCCCAGAACTGAAAACTGGATATTTCCTCGTTTGTCCAGACAAACGATCCCTCGACGCTTCGGTCATTAAGGCCAATCCATGATCGCTCTCCATTGTGACGGTGCTGTATGTAGACATTTTCCTCTTGGTTGTGCACTGTTACCAGATGTGAGTTCATAGCTGAACAGTTGGACACTGCAGTCACCCAAGGTGCACATACAGAGCTCGTTAAATAGCAGTATCCATTGAAGTAATCCCATCCATCTGGACAGATGTCTGTGCGTATAAATCACGGCATTGAGTCACAAATAAGAGACGATAAAGAAAGATATACCGTAAAAAATCTTTTTTTTGCGCTCTTACCTGACAAAACTATGTAGGATATGAAGAGTGGGTCGTATTTTGCCTCATACAGTTCTTTGACACAAACCCGAAAGCCTTTCCTGCTAATATACTGTACATGTAAAAGTACTAAACATTAGTACTAAGATGTGCATTGTGGTGGTGGAGTAGGGAAAACAATAGAAATGGGGAGGTGAGGGAGGGAAAACAATAGAAAATTGGTGGTGGCAGTGGTGCTGGTGGAGGACTCGGGAAAACAACAAAAAGGTGGTGGTGGTGGAGGAGGACTCGGGAAAACAATAAAAATGTGGTTGTGGAGGCTGTGGTGGTGGTTTTCGTGGTGTAAAAAATGAAAAAAAGGAAGGTGAAGCGAAAAAACTGAATTGTGGAGAAGAAGAGGGGAACTAGGGTAAATTGAAAATTTGCTTTATTATTAGAAAGAGCTAGTTGGTCTCTGAACTCATCAATATGCACGATTTGCTCGCCAAGAATCAGAGAACCTGAACTGGAAAAAAATATTGGGCAATGAAAGCAGCAGGAAATAGAACTGGATACTTGCTTAGTGATTTCATGACAAAGGGGGACTAGCGCTTATTACTTTGACAGCATGTATCAACAAATGAATACTTTACTTAGTTTTTAGTCAACCAATCAAAAAGAAACGCATTTGTTTCCCTAATAACATCTAGAAAGCCCCAGTCTAAAACCGATTAAACCACCTTAAAATGGCACACCACCTATCTTAATGAGATTCTATCTATCTTTAGATAATTCAATTCCTACAGTACGCACAGAATCTGCTAAGAAAGGCATTTTTTCACTGGTGCCCAAGCACCAGTATCCAGCTCTAACTAGTTATTTTTATCTTTATTTGTTGTAGTTGTCTGTATGCATCGGTGAAGAAATTGGTATTGTTCTCTCTATTTATAACAGCTTTCGCTGACAGGTTTACCCCGGTTGAATATGTTATGATTATGATTATGATTATGATTATAATAGTTATTATTATTACTGTTATTTACATGTTACCAGTCAACTAATAAAGACAAAAAGGCATAACGTCATCGGTGTCTATAGATATCCTCGGCAGAGTAATGAGATTCGTCCGCCAATAAAGGTTAATTCGGTCCCTACTATACTACTCATAATTTAATACGAAATTAGGCCACTTGCACTAAGAGTTCGCGTGACCAATGCTTCCTTTAAACAATGACTTGGAATCCTGCTGACGACAAAAAATTGACAGAGCGCATAAAAATTATCGTACACCCGACATTTGAGAGGAAACGCATTTAAGGGAGATATTTTATTGCACTTTGATTTTTCAACAAAGTAGTATATATGGTAGTGGCTGCAATGTTGGAGGTCATACTCTTGCCCTCCAACCTGGCGGCCAAAACTACTTTTTTCTTGTATCTTGTTAAACGTTTGATAGTTACGCTCAGATGTGCTGTTAACGTTACCACATCATCTTTTCAGCAAGTTTAATGATTTTTCAACAAAGTAGTATATATGGTAGTGGCTGCAATGTTGGAGGTCATACTCTTGCCCTCCAACCTGGCGGCCAAAACTACTTTTTTCTTGTATCTTGTTAAACGTTTGATAGTTACGCTCAGATGTGCTGTTAACGTTACCACATCATCTTTTCAGCAAGTTTAGGAGCAAAATTTCTGTTCAGAAAGAGGTAATTCATAGTTCAAAAATAACATTTTGGTCACCTGACCAGCTACGAACTTACTCATTTTAAGAAAATGGTGCGGGTTTGAAAAACTAAATCACTATTATTTTGGTTAAGATATTACCCACTAATGGTTTTTTGAAGGCAAAATTATAACTTTCATTTCCATAAAAATGATTTCACATGACCTCTTAGTCCAATTGGCCTATTTGATATCCTGAAATCACCAGTTACCAACCTCTACCCAGGCGGCTATGCTGTTATGAACTGGACTTTGATTCCCTCCTTTTGTTGAATGCAAAGCAGAAACGAAGACGTGTGGCGTTGTGTTATAACTTTTGGCAAAGATTGCCTCCTAAAAAAGATAAAGAAAATATTTCAACTTGAAGGGGAATTGTTACCAAGGTATAGTCTACTTCCAAATCCAACAGATTTTTTTATTGCATTATAGAATCCTCTGGTAACAGTCTGGATAGCTCAATTTTATTTTACTGTTTACAGATACTACCTTAAAGTGCCCTTGACTATAGACGGGTAAGAAGGAAATAAACTGAAATTTGAGAATGTTGACTTTGATTACTAAGGCTTTGCTCTACACCTTGGAAAAAGGAGGTTTTTGGTTTTCCTGACGATTTTGACATAATAGTGAATTAACTAATTCTTACATTTGCATTTAAAATTTTGGGAAAAGCATGCCATATCGATGTTCATAATAAACTGGGCTGGCACTATAAAAAGTACACTTCCAAACTGAGAAGCTAAAATCTGTCAGACAAATACAGTAAGACGAAAGAGATTTTGAGGTCAACGTTATTTCGAAGATCATTCACTGAACTCGGCACAAGAAGCTTTTTGAAACATAGGCTGCAACTAGACTTTAAACCTTTGATGACGTGAAATTGCCATTCAAATGGGTTTTATGCTTTTGCTCTATCATTCTCTTTTGACAGAATACTTACATTTAATTCTTAAAACTATTCAATGCATACAGACACCAAATGGACAGACTCCATCATAGAGGTGACTGAGGTATAGAAGTAGCGAATGTGTGACCTGTGGAATTGTCCGTATTATGTACATTGCTGAGGCAGCTATTAGTATGTGTAATCAAATGGTGACGAGTGAAATTATTCCCTAATTTCACGAGTATACCATTTGATTACCTATTAATATCATGGGTGACGAATTACCTTAGCAATCGAGGATTTTTTACTTGTTTATCCTGGATCGTATCGATCGATCGTGAACTCCACTCTCTCAAACGTTTAGAGCTGAAATTTGGCTTAAGTTTTCAGAATTTTTCGACAACGTACCTCTAAGAATCCTTCTTGAAGTGCTCTTTCGTGTGTTCAGGTTTTCTAAAGCGTCTTTTTATGCCCTGTCATCTTCATTCATGACATTTTAAAACTTCTTCGCCATCTTGAAACGGAGACGTACTTCAGGTTGCCATGGCAATTTAGTAATTTCACATGTGAAATTACAAATTAATGCTGAAATTTCGCGCCAAAATTAAGGAGTAATTCGTCACCAATGATATTACAGGTTAAACACAATGGTCTGAAAGTAAAATTTGATAACTACCATCAGATGGTAAAAAAAGGTTTTTCACTGACATTTGGATTCAAACTCAAACGCTGATACTGACCTTGCAAAATGCATTATAATGTCTGCTGTTGGGAGGTTTATCATTTGCAAAGTAGATCGCATTATGTTCTGAAAAGGGAGGGTTGGGAAGATCTGAAAAGGCCAGCCAATTCTGAAAGTAAAATCAAAAACGCGTTATTTCTGGTTAATCGACCGGCATGCATACATAAATAAATAATAAAAAAAACAACGGCCATGAGGTGTGAAGGTAAAGAATGTTGAAATGTAATTTGTGCTTTTTGATAACTAATTCTAAGACGAATTTGCAGAGTTTTTTTATTATTGTTATTTTTAATGCTTCAACACTTTATTGCAAACATTAAAAAGTATTAAAAAACAAAGCATTGAATAAATAATTAAATACATTACACTACTTTACACAAAAGAGCCATGGTGATTAATATATAGTTAAAACTTATCGTAAGCACAGGAGAGGTTTCCATAGAGAGAGAAACTTGTTAATTAACCCTTTGGATTGGAATATACATCTATGTACAATTAGCTTTCCTTTAAAAAAATCAAAAAACAGGTCGATGTTAGGGGTCTTCTGTTCGAATTTCTGAGTAAAAATGTGTCTCCTTCCCAGGAAAATAAAATAATTGAAAATTAGAGTTCTTTTGTCTTCTGGATAGTAACCATAAAGTATGCTTAATTCATCTACAAGGTAACAGTCTCCGCTTTGATGATTCCACCACGAGATTATTTTTGCTCAGAAACTGTTAATTTCGGTACAATTCACTAGCATATGGGGAAGTGTGTCTAAAGAGTTACAATGAACGCAAAGCGGGGAGTTTGAATAATTTTCTGCGATACGGTAAAATATTGTGGATTATTTTGTACTGGAACATACATAATAATTGCAGAGTTGCTCAACCAGTATGAAAACGATGGGCTGTTCTTTTCAAAGCATTTGTAGTATTACCTTTTGCCTAAGCCAGAGCCAGAGTCAAAGCTTTGGCATTTTGGCAGCCCAATGTATGATCTATGTTTGACACTTAAAATAACGATACACTATATATACTTACAACAAAAATATCTCGGTGTGATCCAGCATAATTCTGCAGTTCTCTCATACAAACTTTACATGATGATTTCGTCAAATCTTCAATCCATACACTAGCAGCGTTACGCTTTAGTCCTGGGTTGTAATGCTTTGACGTCACAAAGACTGAAGGTTTGGCAGAAAATTTCCCCTGCGAAATAGCATGGAATAGTCGTCATTCTGATAAAATGCTTGGCATACTCTTCATTTACACTTATTATGACCTCTACTTATTTATTCATGTATTTATTTATTTTATTATCGATTCGAAGCAAGAACAGCGATTTTCGTAGATTCAGGAAAGTGATTAAAAGCATCCTCGGAGACCCAGGGGCAGATAGGGGGGCGAGGGAAAGTCTAAACGGGCGGAAAAATAAGGCACGAAGAAAAGGATGTTACTAAAACGGGGAACGGGGAGCGGGGAGCGGGGAACGGGGAACGGAAGTCTGGGAACGAGTTGTCAGCGGAAACCTCCATAAAAATCCAATATGGCCGATGATCGATGATAGAGAACCGTCGAAACACAACTTAACCGATAACGGCGTTATTTTACTTGAACTATATGCTCATGAGGTGCTTGAAATAATTACGGAGGTAATAACTTCATGACGTTTTTCACCTCTTTGCGTTTTACTAAACAATTATCCGTAGGAAAAAAAAAATATGCTCCAACAGCAGTTGAAAGAAGCCAATCGGGACAACTACATGTACAGCCATATTTGGAACTCAAGCGAATCTATACTGAGTCTAGCCCAATGAGTAATGAACTACTTTTCCATGATAGATAACATACATCGAAGTAGTCAAGTAGCTTGTGTGCAGTTTTCTTGTATTTCCTTTGATAGAGATGACTGCTTTGAAAAATGTTATTGACCAGGTCATCACATAATTAGTGAGACTACTTTAACAATCTGGTTCTGCTTTTAATATTATTAGATCTACTACACTGCAAGCATTCACGATATTGGAGTGTTTCACTGATCCATGAAAATAAAATAATATCAGTTTATTATTATTGTGAAACAATTTGTTTCAGGTCAGTTTGCCCAGTATAGACCAGTATAATGACCCTAATGAAACCTAATTCACTCATTTTCCTCACCCTAATCAGTAACTGCTTCAAAGTCGTACAGTGGCCATTTGTCTTTCTGCGAAATACCCCTGACGACCCTTTCCTGAATCAAAACCATTGGATTGCATTGAATGCAACATTCTCACTCACTGCAGATCCTCAATTAACCCCCCGCCCCCCTAAGAATGAGATCCCAAACCTCTCCATTTTGAAGAAAAATGTCGTAAAATAATCAAAGTACCTCTTCATGGGCACGAAACGTTTGGTGCAATTCATACCATACAATATCGCTGTATCAAGGTACTGTTCTCGGTGCAGGAGGAGGGGATACTATAATGGCCTAAACAGAGCCTGAAGCCTTATTCAGGCTTCAAGTACATGAAAGGGAAGGGGTTTTTATAGTTGAAGTATATGAAAGGGACCAAAATGAGATCAGTCACAGATGCATTTTATGGATGTGAGAGACAAGAAAACCTGTTTTAGCTAATTATTCATATTGTAAAGATGGTGTATTTACAGCAGTTAAAAAGGGATGCAGCATTCAAAATTAGGTATGTGAAAGGGGTACCATTTGTCACTAGAGGGTATACAAAAGGGGTACCTTTTTTGTCTAAAATGGTACATACGAAGGGTAAAGGGTTGGTCCCTGGGGCAGAGCCTCTTTGGTGAGTACCCACCCTCCCCTCTGGGTTACTGTTACTCTAGTCTGATTCTTCTCTTTAATTTCTTTGATACTGTGCTTAAATTAAATGAATTAAAATTCATTTAAAAGCTTCTTGCCCCTTTTTTGAAAACCCCGATATGTTAAAAGAAATTATGTCCCCTGGAGGGGAAATAAAATCAGGGAAAATGGGTAGCAAGATCTATTGTGTTATTTAACATGCATTGAGTAAGCGTAATGTGGCCACTATACACATACAGTTGCGCGTGTTTACTGAAAAACATATCGGCACTCCAATCTTTTGCCTCCCATCACTTGTGTGAGACCTTAGACTCTTTATTTCCAAAACTACAGACAGCTTGCTTGAAGGCTTATCAACCACCTTCTAGTAAGCTGCCAACCTCTGCAACATTGATGATGTGATGCTTGATGGTAGGTGCACTGCAATATTACTGAATCAAGCTAATAAAGCAGCTTGACAATATTAACTGGTTTAAATCACTGATACATTCAGTTTTACACTGAGCTTGAAATATTTTTCTCCACAGTAAAAATAATGTTCATTAAAGAGAAGCAGAGCTCCACTCTGCAAAAACATTAAAGGAGTCCCCCTAGAAAAAAAACAAAGCATCCAGAGGGCTAAACAGAGGAAGTATACTTACCACGCATATTTTAACAGCTAGCCTTTACAAAGTACCTTCCAACCAAAGACTTTAAAGTACTTCCCCCACGTATACTTGCAACACTTAATATTCCAGTTCAGTTGTGGTTCACTTTTATCCTAAGTTTGAATTTTATTCTCTTTGTTTTGAACTCATAATCATAAAATTCATATTACCCTACCCCCAAACAAAGGGAAGCAAAATTTACACCTAGGTTATAATAAAATAAAACCACAGCATAGCCATTTGCTTTGAAACAACTGACATCTTTAAGACCAAGGTATGATTGATGTTCCTGGCACATTGCCCGTTAATATGTTTAAAGTTGCCTTTTATTGATGTATTAAATAACCTGATCCATCTTATCTTTTCAAATAATACAATTGCACTTACTTCTCATCATAGGTTTGTAAATATAATATTATTAGACTTACAGTTTTATCTCATCGCCAACATGTTTTAATTTGGGCTTGAAAAAACGCTACTGCTAGGAAGGAGCTCCACTGCTACACAATTACTGTCGAGGAAATACACCTGGCTGCTTCGATCTACGTTATCTTTCAGCATGTATTTAAGCCAAAACCCTACTAAAAGCGTCAAGCAAAAGTATTTCATTGCTTTGTGAGTTAGACCCAGTATAGATTCGCTTGAGTTCCAAATATGGCTGTGCTTTGAGAGTTTTTGTCCCGACTGTAGCTTCTTTCAACTGCTGTTGAAGCATATTTTGTTGTTTAGTAAAACGCAAAAAGGTGCAAAATGTCATGACATTATTACCTCCGTATTATTTCAAGCACCTCATGAGCATATAGTTCATTAGTAAAATAGCGACCTTAAGTGTTGTTTCGACGCTTCTCTATCATCGATCTTACCGGGTCCTTGATCCTTACCGGCCATTTTGGATTTTTATGGAGGTTTCCGCTGACAACTCGTTCCCAGACGTCCGTTCCCCGTTCCCCGCTCCCCGCTCCCCGCTCCCCGTTCCCCGTTTTAGTAACATCCCGAAGAAAAGTAAAGAACGGCGAGAAGAGCCCCTGGGGACAATGTCTTACCAGACCAGTTCCAAACGGTCGCCGCCGTTCTGTCTTCTGATTGGTGCCAGAAAACTTGTGTTTTTCTGGCGCCAATTAGAAGCCAGAACGGCGGCGACCGTTTGGAACTGGTCTGGTAAGACATTGTCCCCAGGGGCTCTTCTCGCCGTTCTTTACTTTTCTTCGTGCCTTATTTTTCCGCCCGTTTAGACTTTCCCTCGCCCCCACTATCTGCCCCTGGGTCTCCGAGGATGGATTAAAAGTGGCAGTTTGAACGTTTTGTTTCACTCCTTCGAAACCACATAACTAGATTTCAGTGGTTATTGAGAGAAAATAGAACGGTCACTTTATGTTGATATTGTTGTCTTTTCAAAGCGTGTATTCCCAACAACAGAGCACCCTGAAAGTTTCGTTTTAAAGTCAAACTGAATGATTTTATGATGTGTATTTAGACGCTTAGGAAAACAAAGCATTAAGATAAACAAACAAGGCATCTTACGGTGGGAAATCTCACAGTTGCGCAAATCGTCCCTGTCCACCACTGTGACATGCGCAGTTCACCAGTCACGCCACCCACTGGAGCACCTTGATACGCCATCCAATCAACTGTCACGTTAGCATAAGACTTCCTTTCGTTATATCCAGCTGCTATCACACAGGCAGTGAATCCGTCGTTATTCACATCTTCAATCCACGATACTGCCGCGTCATGGACATAGGATTTGTCACTGGTATCAATATGATTTACAGTGATCTGCAGTTCAATGGGTTTGTCAGGGTAAAATACAAAAGGCTTGAAACGAATTACTTGACAATGAGAATAACCCAGAGATGGAATTTGGGCCATGTAAAGGCGACCATGCTGAAAAGGAAATCCTAAAAACGAGTTGTAAAGATTAGTTATTTGGCTTACAGTAATAAAGTTAAATCCCTTGTTGACGCAACAACTTTACCCCAAAAATATTGGAAAAGTAAACAGAAATGAAGTAAAAGAAAATTTTGCTATTACTCCAAAGACTAACAGAATTCAGTGAAAAGGTGCCTCTGACCAATAAAAAGGCAATAAACTGCTGACCTTCACAGCTGCCAGGATGTTGTACGGTAAAGTTTAGTCGATTGAGACAAACTTCCTGTTCAAACAGACATTTGTTGTCGTACGTAGTGCCATTGGATGAACATACGGGTTCTTTGTAAGTCGGACAGCTGTCCAAACACACACAGCGTGTATCATTAGGTCCAAAAGCCTTACACAGGCTGTGATAATGACATGTTACATCTATACAAGGATCCAAGTCTAAAAGACAAACATACAAGTGTTGGAATCAGAGTGCATCATTTCAGATTCATTCATTTCGAATTTGTCAATAGATAAAACAGCCTGGAATATTGAGTTATCAGGGAACTGGGTAACGGTTAAGGCTATGTTCACAGTATACCGGATAACATGTGCGCCGCGACGAAAATCTTATCGCATAGGGCTTCTATTCACATTCAAAAGCGGTTGTGGCGGAGTGATTTCTGTGACAAAGAGAGGATGTGCCTCGCCGATCTCTAAAGTGGAGAGACACATGTCGGATACATGTAGGTGTTCACACTGTACCAGATAGCTTCTCGTGGCGCCATTACAGGGCACCCATCATGGAAGGTTGTTGAAGAACTTCAGCGAGCAGTTGCTGTAAATCCTGAAGAGGTAGCTGTGGGCACCGATCCTAATATTGACTGACATGCCCTAAGCTACAACCATGCAAAGTTTGGTGCTTTTGTCCGCTCTGTATAGATCTCGCTAAAATTTTGCACTAAGCCACCGGACGAAAAGTGTAGAGTCACATGTTGGATACATGTAGGATTCACTACACCGGACAGCTTCTCGTGGCGCCATGAAAGGCTATCCGGTATAAAGTGAACACAGCATAAAGCACATGAGCGCTCAGTTCCATATATGTCGTATATTGCTGAATTTTAACCTAGCTTTTAATTTCACTTTATTTTGTTTTGGGGCCTGGTAATGTATAATCTGAATGATTTGCAACAAAGGAAAAGAACTTTAATTTAGACTAAAATTTGATCGAAACGTATGCATTTTAGTATTGTACAGTTAATCACTATTAGAGAGCACCGTGATTGTCTACAGTTAAAATTCATTGCTGTTTCCTCATTTTACGTTGCATAATATATTACGTACCTCCAACTACAATGTAATCGACCTTTATGATATCCTTATCGTTGGCATCATTGTTGTAGCTTCTCACACACACTTCTGTTTCGTTTGTAGATGTATGCTAAGCATATTCCAAAACAGCGAAAAACATAAGATAACACAATATAACATTTTGTTGCACTAAAAGTAATACTGAACAATACATTTTTCAAATTCAACTGACTAGTCGATTTATTGATGGTAAAAGATTAGGTTTAGCGCAAGTAGAGTAACAATTCCCATATAACAATTGTTAAAAACCTATGAGACTAAAACTTCTAAGTCCTTCCTTTTGAAAGAACCAAACAAGTAAAAAAACTATGAAAAAGTCTGTTTTCATCTGACAAGTCTGCAGAAACTTTTTGTAAGGAACGCTATTTGCCATATTCATATGAAAATGAGAAACTAGTTAAATTAGTAATATTAACCCCCATCTAAGTTTTTAACGTGAGTAAAATGGCAACGATCAAAGGAATAATTTATTGACTTTTAAACAAATTCTCCTCATTAGAACCACAGGAAGAGTAGGGGGACTATATTTTTCTAACCTCAACCCAGGCAGTAACTGCTTTGCATGGTTCGGATCCTGAGAAACGTGATTTGTTGTTATTGTAACCAAGTCTTGGAGACACCACTACAACTGGAGGGGCATAAAAGACATCCTGGAACTTAACTTTCTGAAAACAGTACGAAGCAAATGATCTTAAATCTCATTTGAAATAAATAGCTTCTTTCCAAGAAAAAGTATAAAATGTTAACAACCATTTTCTGATTCAGTCCTCCTACCAACTTTACAAGTGGAAAATGAGACTTTCTGTTGAAAGGATACAATTATTCAAAGATATAAGTTAATCCATAATTTGAATGACAAAAACAAGGAGAGGAAAGAGGAAAGCAAGGGTGGTCAATGCTGGAAACCATTAAACATGACAATATACCTGACAGACAGCGTTGTTGTCTTGTTTGTTTGATGGTGAGTTGTTGTTTGTAAACACGAGACTGTTAGTCAAGGTGAAATTGTCAGTCTTCAATTTGATAAAAGCCATCCAATCCTGCCGAAAAGAGGGAAAGATGTGAAGTTATACAATGATGTAAATGCTTCGCGTGACGTGATTGGTCGTTGCCCATGATCTATTAGAGTACAGACACAAGGATGACGTTAAGGGAATCTTGTTTTCTTTGCCGTTTTCTTCAACATGGCACGCGGTTATGAAAATGTTGGTGAGATTATTTCGAATTCAGCAGGTGTAATCCTCCAAAAGATTTTAGCAGGAGCTATTTACAAAGGAGGAAAATGGAGAATCGGAGACAAAAAGAGAACTTGACAACTTGTTGAGAATTCCTAAACTACAAGAAATCTTCACAACAATTGCCACCGTGTGTCAGTGTATGAGTATGTCGTTTTCTTCCCTCTTCGTTGTTTAAAACAAATGGATTCCATGTATAGATCACAAAAGACGGAAAATGTGGTAAAAATATCTGCGTGACACACTCGCCTGCGGCAGGTGTGCCACGTCTTTGTTTTTAACCACACTTTGACGTCATATGTGATCTCTTGCTAAACTCAAAATTGCCAACATTACAGAACAAAACTTGTTCTATTACGTTAAAGACACCACTAATAACAAAACAAGAAGTAGCGAAGAAATCAAGGAACAGGAATACTGCTCACCACTTTGATGTTTTTATGAATGCCATCAAAAATCTTAGCTTCTCTGGCACAAAGTTTAAAGCTGTCCTTGCGCAAGTCTTCTACCCACACGGCCAAAGCGTCTTGAGCTCTTTCAAGAATCTGGTGACGAGCTGTAACCATGATATTTGGAAGAGCCAAGAAAAGCTAAAGAAGTGAAAGAGTAGAGAAATATTATATGTATTTTCAGCTAACAAAGATAATGCAAGGTAATATGTCTGCCTTAGAAAGCAGCTCTGTTGCTGATCCAGGGATGATACAGTGGAGTGTTGAATAAAATAGCTATTTAAGAAAATCAGTGACCACCTCACTCAACCTCATCCTGGGGAAGAAGTTGCACCTCACTCGTGACCACATTATGGCGACGGAGATAATTTTATTCTCTAACTAACATAATATGTAGGCGAAGGCTTATAGTGTTACTATTCAAATATTTGGAACTTCTCTGTCAGTCGACCCCTTATAAGCAAACTTTATTTATTAGGAAAGTTTGAATGTTTTTGTAACAATATTTCTTTGGGTACCACAAAGTAGTGAAAGGGTCAAATACATTAAACAAGAAAAAAAGGAAAAATCAAATAAAAACAAAGACAAAAACGATTTGATCATGCAGAGTGCTTTTAAAAAAAACAGACATTATCTTAAATCAATAAAAAAATTCAATAAAAATCAAAATGTGAACTCTAATTTAATGAATAAAAAAGAGTACGTCTTTTTGACATCAAAACGAGCGAGGTAGTCTGCGCCAGACTTTTTGCCTTTATCACCAATTTAATCCTCCATATTCCTTCTGAAACAGATTTTGGAATTCACTACTTTTAATTTTTTGATATCTCGTTGATTTTCAAAGATTTTTCTAATCGGCCTTATTGGCTCCAGTGTGTTTTCTTTATATTACTTCCTTCGATCTTTTCTTCCGGTATCGTTTGTAAACGAATCTACCGGAAAAAATCTACCTGACATAAACTATCGTTCTCTGCTTTTTTATTATTATTGTTTTTTTCAGCTTCTTCACCTATGGATTTATTTCTCATCTTTTAAGTAGTCTGTTACTTTATCGATTAATTGCGATGATGGTAATGAACCACTTGTATTTCAAAAGTTGTGTCATTTTCTGGATCTAAATTTTCATATATTTTCTTCTTCAGCTGCTTCAGTTTGCTCTTTTAGTCTGGTCTTTAAAGCCCCATCTTTTCTCCTCAATTTCTTTTTCGTTATTCTAATCTCCTCCTTGTTCTTAATTTGATGTTTTCTGTCAAAACAAATGCCGTGACTGAAGAACAAGAAAGAGATATAAGATTTAGAACTTAAGATTAACTATTGTGATTGACTGTGGTTGAGGCGCACAGGTTTTGGCCTATATGTTCAAAAGCGGATTTTGAGCCTAAACCTTTCCTTTCCAGTAACTGCTCATTTTATTCCTTAGCCACCTTACGCTAAAATTTGATGATGGAAGGTTGCTATGTTACCAAGATAAGACGTCATAAATAGCATAAGGCTAAGCGACTTCTAAGAATAATGCGCGTTACTTTCTTTGTAAAATAAATACACATAACATCGTTAAAAAAAGAAATATATTTAATTATAGCATACTTCAAACTTAATTCTCAATTTTTGTACCATTAAGACAAATTATGCAAAAAATGAATTTAAAATAAAATCCAAGATTGAATGCAATGTGGCCGCTACAATAATGACGTCACGGCTTCCCAGTGGTGCCATACCCCATAATATTAATATTATTTTGTTGAGCTTATCAAAGTCTATCAATCAAACTTTTCACACCCTCCGGGTTGCAATAGCAACAACAATGTGAAAAAACTGTGAAACCCATGCGTTTGATTTTATTTGTCGCCCATATAGTTTTGATAAACTACAATTTTGAATTAGGCATACACAAGAAATAATTGTTTTTCACGCCCTAACAGAATAAATTAACGATCAATTCTACCTAGATTTTCGCTCGTACCTTTTGAAGGAGTTATGCGTGCGAGTCATTTGATCATGTGACGTCTACACAAGCCTAGGATGAGAGTGGCTGTTTGTTCATCTTTGTTGACAGACTTGTCCTTGATATATCACGTTCCTTGAAAGTTTACGTTGAATATTTTAAGAAACATTAACTATATATAGACCGTGGTCACGAATCTCGAGAAATAAATTTAGTTATTTCACGAATCACGGGATCATTTTTGTTCACGGATCATGAGAAATTAATTATTCCGTTCACGATTCACGGCAATTGAAAATAGTCGTTCACGGTTCACGGAATGAATAGACATATGAAATAACGAGGGTAAAGCAAAATGCTGAGAGTTTTTTTTCGTAGGAGGCAAACGAAATGAAATTAAAAAGAATGAAAAAACAGGACAAATCGAACCTTTTCAAAAGCGATCCTTTTACAATTTGTTCCACTAGTCCAGGCGTTTAAAGAAGCTGTACCTAGTTGAGCGCCAGCAGGTACAGATTGCAGCGCCATCCAGTTCACTTGCGAAGCGCCACTTGAGCCATCTCCGTACTCCAAAACACAGACAGTAAATGCCTTGTTATTCACCGATTCCACCCAAATTGCTGCACCATTTCCACGAGTAGAACCTTTCGTTGCGTAGCTTTTAGAACTGATGAAGATTTTAATTTCTTGTCCACCGTTAAAAGGCTCCTCAAAAGAAACATTCTTACAGGCAAACAGACTCAAAGTTGTGGTCACATTGAATTTTCCTGCTTTGAAGCTGAGTCCTGTAGTACAAACAAGAACAAACTATTAAGTACCACTGTGCAACTATTCGACATTTTTTACCCATAAAGATATTGTGTTAATAAAGAAGTAACTACTTGTGAACAATGCTTCATCCTTCGTGAAATCAAAGCCTTCTTGTAACTTACAGTTCTTCATCACTAAATCAAAATTTTACGAGCATGTTTGTGTAAAACAGTTCTTGAATAACATAAAAACATCAATTTCGGTGTTGTTCATACCTTCAATTTCTTGGTAAATGAGAGCAACTATGAAGAAAATCGAGAAGACGTGCACACGGAGTTGGTGCTCGGTAGACATCTTGCTTCCAATGAGAGAAAATCTACCGTGGTCTTCATCATACCTCCTACGAATACGTGGCAATAAGGCTTAGCACGAATTAAAATATTACACGTTTAGCACAAGGAAAAAAAATGCCTGAGAGGGTAGCAGTGAGATGGTTAAGGAGCAGGAAAAAGCTGATATGTATGTTAAAGGTACACGTACTTAGTGGGGGTAGACATGCGAGGTCTTTGACTTCCCAGGGGGTACGAGAGTATAAAGAAGATGGCGTATGATTTCAGGATCATATTATAAACAGTAAAAATTAACAAACATCTAGACTAAAACGAAAACTATGATTAGTTATAAGTAACTCTGAGATTTTTAGAAAAGGGGAAACGCCACAGGAGATAAGGGGCAATTCTGGCAAGAATGTCTCATTTATCTTTTAAAGCAAATTATTTTTCTGCTTAAAAGTGTACAGGTTCAACTGATACTCTCGGCCATTCCATTTCAAACATTTTGCATGCGGGCAGTCAAGATATTGTAAAATTACTGTGCGATTAGACGCTCTCTTATGTTCGTAAACTTTAGTAAAGTTAAGCCTTGTGATATTTGCACCGGGCTTTCTTTTTTTTACAGTTATACGTTCAGCTTTTGTAATTCCATCATCTAACACAGCAGGGGCACCCAACGAGGATATAGTGCAAAACCACTTCACATAGCATTGTTGAATGTATTTTAGTATTTAAACGGTAGATATAGGCATATTTTTATCCCCTAAAAACTTTCCATCTGTTCGGATTTCCTAGCTGAAAGTCTAGTGATCCGAAAATTATAGGCATCAAAACTTACCTTTTCGAAAATTTCAGCGAGGAAAAGGCACCCGAAAATCCTAGGTGGCCTTTTTTAGGGTAAAAATCCGTTAAAAATGGGTAATTATACCATTTTGTGGATGTTCGAAAATCCTAGGAGAGGCAGGCAAGCAAGATATTTTACAACAAATGTTCCGAAAATTCTAGATCTCAAATCGTCTTTCGAACAGATATTTTCCGAAAATTGCCGTTGGGTGCCCCTGACACAGTGAAGTGTTACAATGATAAACTGAACTAAAGACATTTTTACCTCCTCGCTGGTTTGCATCATATTTTGAAATAAATCAGTGGAGTACAATTTATCACCAACCTTCTGATTTTTACGTTTCATAGTTCAGTACTGGAGGGATAAGGCTTCCTAGAGACTTATCGTTTTAACAATTTCCAGGTCAATATGATTTTTCGTGCTTAGGTCCGATTAAGCTTATGTTATATATTGGAAGAAAGGGAAAATTTATAATAGCCGCTTATTCTGTAAACAAAGCGCAATTAATGAAATGAATAATGTGTGAAAATTCACAAAAGCCGCTCATTATCTCAGTTCAACTTATCGATGAGCGTGGAATGCTTTTGACTGATAGTGAAATATGGATAAATTGTACTTAAAATAAGGGGTAATTCTGAGAATATATTTCAATCGTGAGTTAGGTCTGTCGCAGTTCTAGACTCGATATAAAATGAGGAGATTTGCATTTCAAATTTAATGTTCAAGTCGGTTCGAAAGCTCTGATTTGTTTACCTATATATTATATCTGTTTTTATTTCGTACCCCTATCAGCGTCTATTTGAATAATTTATTTTTTATTATTTTCAAAATAAAATTGCCAGTATTACAAATTCTTAGTTACATTTGATAGCATTCTAGTCCCGAGAACATACATTTTATATGCATGAAATTAAGTATATTACGTAATAATAATTAAAAATAAGTAACTAAAACACTATCAACAGGTTTTACGTACAAAGTGTCATTTGTTACAGCCGGAAATGAACATAACACTGTTTATTCAGTTTTCAAATGAAACACTTTGGTGACACTTTAGTGACATGAATGATTCAGTGAAAAATCTGAGCATGAGCGGATGTTATCACATGGTGTTGTCGCTATTATCTCTATTAGGCTCTATTCACCATTTTCATATAGACCATAATCCACCTTGTTTACCCCCCAAATTTTGCATAACTATTGTCTTCGATTTCTCTTGGGACGACTGAGAACCTGCAAAATTTTTACGAGTAAACAAGTTTCTTTATTGTCTACGTGAAAATGGTGAATTGATATTTCCGGCGCTCTATCGAACCTAGTTCTTGTCCACTCGTACAGTTAAGGATTGCTGCATTTATACGATTTCAAAATAATAGGTTTTTGAGAATTTTGGTTTCGGGGACATAAATGGCGGTTGCCAATTGTGAGATAGAAGAGAGTTTACCGTCTTCAAGTATACGGCAAACGGCAAACGTCAGATTCAAGTTGAGAATTTCTCAAAGTAGAAAATGAGCAGATAAAAACAGCTCAAAACAATTCTTATGGATAAAAAATTGGGTGAAACTACTAATTCATGTGTAGAAAAAAAAAACAGTATAAAGACAAATAATAGGGACAGTTGGTCACGTGGTACAAATTCGCGTTTGCCGTTTGATATACACGTGATGCTTAACTTCTCTAGAGTCACCTTTACGGTAAACGGCAAAAGTCAAATTGTATATGAAAATTAAAAAATAGAAAATGATCAGATAAAAACAGCTCAAAACAATTCTCATGGATAAAACTGGCGTTATTAGCGTCTACTTTTAAAGAGGAATAAACGACACGTAAAAGGAGAAAACCACAGGTAACCCAGGCTCTGTGATAGTACCACAGTACGGTTCCAGTAAAATTACAGTGTTTGTATGGGGTAAAAATATCATCCTAAAATTTCTAGGAAATACTAAATAAAGATCAATGAAACTTACTCTGCAGTTAATTGTTGTTGTCCTTATTGGTCCAACGAAGTTTCGTGATAATTTGCGGTAATTTGTTCAAATTCACTCTATCTACAATAATAATATACAAGGTAGGAAACACGAGGTGCCATTTTCGCCGACATGCTCTCATTCAACACAACTTTTTCCACGAAATTCGAACTCCAACGGAAAATAAACATGCCAGAATCGTAGAAATAGGATAGCAGCAGGTATAGAAACCAATGAGGCTCTCCCAGATAGAGAAACGAATCCCACAGACTTGGACAAACTCGAAGAATATAATCCAAACACACCGAGAATACGCTCGCCGAAGCAGCCGGGCCAGATCAACGCGCGGCCAAGAAAATGAAGCCTGGGCACTGTACAAAAAAATTCCATCCCGGGAGTCCTGGGGTGACCTTTCTAGGGACCGATACATCATTTTCCCAAAGCCACCCTCCCCTGCTGGAAAAATACTTGATAGAAGGCAATTGTTCTTGCTAGCCAATCACTATTTGCCTGAGGAAACCCCGCACACGCGCCTGAATTTAAATGGCTAAAAAAAAAGTAATATAATCAGGAGAGTCTGCGGAGTTACAAGACGTCCCATTTCTTTTACTAAGGAATGCAAATAACAGTAATGAAACTAATGAAATAACAACGCGAAATGCTTACAAGGCGGGCTAAAAACAAGGTTGAACAAAAGGTAGATGATGACTGAGATACTGTTGCTGTGAACTCTCGAGCGAAACTATCGTAAATAAACGGTGAAACTTACAAACTAATGTCAAAAATTATACAGAAAATTGCGACAGAATATGAATTGCGATAACTGAGACGAATGTGAAAGGCACGTGCACTAGTAAACAAAGAACTAGCGCGATTAACATATTTAGCGATTAATGCGGCAGTAACACGCCGACTTCTTGTCAATACAAGTGAACGCTCTATCGGTTAAATATGTGAATCATCGTGATACACCTCTCTTTGAATTTGGTCCTGTTGTACAAATGCCTCAGTAAGAGCCAAAATTCACTTATATCTTTAGCTCGTTTTAAGTTTTGTAAATCGTCCTTAGTTGTTCTTTCCTTTGCACTTATAACCTTGCCCTATTGATGTTTGATAAACTTTCTGAGGACCAGCGCCAGGAGCTGAATATAGTTGGAGAGGAAAATAATCTCTTTATAACAGGCCATAGTGATTGGCTAGGAAGAACAATTGCCTTCTATCTTGTATTTTTCCAGCAGGGGAGGGTGGCCTTGGGCAAATGATGTATCGGTCCCTAGAAAGGTCACCCCAGGACCCCCGGGATGGAATTTTTTTGTACAGTGCCCAGGCTTCATTTTCTTGACCGCGCGTTGATCTGGCCCGGCTGCTTCGGCGAGCGTATTCTCGGTGTGTTTGGATTATATTGTTCGAGTTTGTCAAAGTCTGTGGGATTCGTTTCTCTATCTGGGAAAGCTTCATTGGTTTCTATATCTGCTGCTATCCTATTTCTACGAGCCTGGCATGTTTATTTTCCGTTGGAGTTCGAATTTCGTGGAAAAAGTTGTGTTGAATGAGAGCATGTCGGCGAAAATGGCACCTCGTGTTTCCTGCCTTGTATATTATTATTGTAGATAGAGTGAATTTGAACAAATTACTGCAAATTATCACGAAACTTCGTTGGAGCAATAAGGACAACAACAATTAACTGCAGAGTAAGTTTCATTGATCTTTATTTAGTATTTCCTAGAAATTTTAGGATGATATTTTTACCCCATACAAACACTGTAATTTTACTGGAACCGTACTGTGGTACTATCACAGAGCCTGGGTTACCTGTGAGAAAACTTGATCGTTTGGCGTAAACGTTACGCTAGTAAGTCTCTCTAATATTTACAGTTGAACTACAAAATAATTTTATATTATAATATAGAAAAATTTTAGAATCGCGTTAGCACTGCAGTGCTCTACCATTTGAGCAATGAAGACCCATACATTGGGAGCAGGCCAATTTGTTGAGTTCATCTTAACTCGTGAAAGGAGTGAAGCGTGAAGACAATGGTGAAGATGATGTGAATTTTAAATGTTCGGATATTATCGCCGTAGCGGTTATTGCAATTTAAGCAATTGCAAAACAAAAGAAAACCTTTTGGGTTTATTTGAATATAACTTCAATAACTTCAATTTGCAATAAATGATTTCAAAACCATCCTCTTTTTTAATTTCAGGTCAATG